GGTTAAGCAACTGACTTCAGCTCAGGTCATGATCTCACGGTTTGTGGATTCAAGCCCCACATCAGGCTCTGTGCTGACAGCTCAGGGCCTGGAGCCTGCTTCAGATTCTGTGTCTCCCTCTCTCTCTGCCCCTCCCCTGCTTTTCTCACTCTGTCTCTCTCTCAAAAATAAATAAACATTAAAAAAAATTTTTTTTTCAATAAAAAAAAAAGGAAGGGGAGAGAAGGAAAGCAGCAGCTGACCAGATGTACTTATTTAATATTCATGGTGCACGGGGGCTCAGTACCAGACTTTCACTCTCTCACTTAACCCTCACATTCACCTTATAAAGTGGATGCTATCCTCACCCGCATTTTACAAATAAAGAAAGCAGGGGGAGGCGAACAGAAGGGAGCTGCACCTTCTGCCATTTGATTTATAGAAGGGCCAGACCAGGGCACTCAAGGCCTCACCGCACGGCTACTAAGTCGCTGTCGTGCACACCAGACTGGCTGCGGAGCATGACGGGAGAAAGGAGGCCCCGTCCGACCCCTGGAGAATCTCACAGTCCCAACCGGTGGCCAGCCTGCTATGCAACAGCCCCACCGCTCGGTCCACATCTTCTAGAAAGACTGAGTCAGAAAAGCAGTACCCACTTTGGTTTGCTTGGCCGGGAAGATTCCTTCCAGCGGGGGAAAAAAAAAAAAAAAAAGGTAGCGATATTAAAAATTAATGTTTACTTCAAAATTAAAATGTTCTATTTCCCAGCTGTTAATTATTAAGTCTCACTGGCAGTCCCCACATGTCATTGACCCTAAGGAGCCAGATGACAGCCTGAAAACGCAGGCAGGGGGGGCAGGGGAGGAGCGAGGCTGAGCACCAGATCAGCTGGGATGAGCCTCTGTCTCAAGGAGGCTCAGTCAGCAACATCACCCACTGCCTCCCGCAAACGAAGTGACACAGGGCAGGCCACCCACGCGTGAGAGCTAGTCCTTGCTACCATCAAGTGCCAGAAGCGTCCAAAGTCACAAAGATGGGGCTCTAGAAAGAAGGAAAGGTGCCAGGACAGACTCCGAGCTGCCCAAACGCCTTTCTTCCACGCACGACACCCACCGCGTCAGCCTGTGTGACTCCACTATAGGGCAAAGGCTTCCACGGAATAAAACGGCCTCTATCACCAAAACACACACCTACCAAGGTCACTGCTAGCTTTTGAATCTTACGTACTCATTAATGGGTACAGGATGGGCCCCAAGCGTCGGGTAGAGAAAGCGTTAAACTTCTATCAACATGAACCAGGTCAAAAAAGATGTGTTCAGCGTGTTCTTTACTGAACTCTCCATAGGCATCGGCATGCCAGGGGATGAGCCGGCAAAGAGCCGATGGAAGGAGGGTGGGGCTGTGGAATGCAGAGAAGGAGCCGATGTGGGAAGGACTTTGGAGGAAGGATTAACAGAACACATTAATCAATTAGACTGTGGGGTGGGTGGAGGAAAAGGATGAACCAGAGAGGTATTCCGGACTCTGGCTTGAGGTGGGAAATGAGGACAAGGGTGGGGTAGAACGCGGAAACCCATTTGGGTCACGGGAGACGTGTACAGAGATGTCAGGCGGGCAGTTAGATCCAAGTCAGGGCTCAGGAAATCTTCGGGCTGAAGATCGGAATGTGGAGAGTCACACGCCCCGGTGTCTACGGCCATGGAAATGGATGAGAGCACAGTGGAAGATGGTGTATAAAGAAAAGAGACGAGAATACTGGATGTCGTCTCCAGAAACTCTACTATATGACGAGGGAGAGGCCCTTATGGAGGAGACCAAGAAGGGAGAATAGAGAAGGAGGAGGGAAAGCCAGAGGATGTGTTGTCACAGAAGCTAAGAGAGCTTGATGTGGAAATGTGTGCACGATACCTGGTAATGTATTGTAGGTCGTCTACATGAGAGGATACATTTATATGGATATATTTATTTGTTCATTCAATTGTGTATCTAATCGTTCACTCATCTAAGAAATATACTTTGGTGCCCTGGGAAGGCTTAAATTTGGAGCCTCTTCAAACCAATAGTCTTTAAGTATCTGCTCACCATTTGTGTGGAGGAAAGGCTGAGCCATGCACGGGGGAGAGTGGGGAGTGACAGCTGGTGGCCACGATCGGGCTCTCCTCTTTGTCTCAGCCCTCACCCCGCCTCCCAAGTCCCGCTCCCGGAGCACAAATGCCACGGTTAAAGTATACCAGCCTCCTGAGAAAGGAGCTTGGCGACTACCTCTTGCTCATCTAGCCCACCTTTTGGTGGAGGTCTCCCTGTCCCCCTGCCCCAAACACACACACATTAAGGGGCTCATCAAAGCGACAATGCCTCCATGTTCTTGTGTTTCCAGTAATGGTTTAGCATCTCACAGATGGCCACCCTGGTGCCTAGCCCATTGAATGACACATGGGTGGGGGGTTGTAGGGGGAGGGCAAAATTCCCATCCTTCCACACTAGTGTGACCCCCCTCCCCCCAAACAAAAAGAGAGCTTTCCAGAACATACTCAGTCTTTCCAGAGCTCACTCCCCTCTTACCAGAATAGTTGCTATTCTCTCCCTGTCCTCCTCCTCTATAGCTCCTCCTGCCCCCTTTCAGACTCCTCTTCCTTCACTGGCCCCATAAGTGCTGACATCAGGATGTGGTTCTAGTCCCCTGCTTGGATGACCCCCTCACTCTGATGGCTCTTCACCCCACATCTCTACCACACATCTTCCAAGGAGCTCAAGGGCACCGCTATAGACTGACCATCTGTGCCCGCCCTCCAGAATTCCTACGTTGAAACCCAGTCCCGGGTGTGATGGTATTTGGAGGTGGGGTCTTTGGGAGGTGCTTCGTTCATGGGGGTGGAGCCCTCACTAATGGAATTAGTGCCCTTATGAAAGAGGTCTCAGAGAGCTCCCCGCCCCTTCCACTGTGGGAGCACAGAGAAGATGGCTGTCTGTGACCCAGGAAGTGGGCTCTCACCAGTCACCAGAGCTGCTGGTGCTTTGATCGTGGACTTCCCAGCCTCCAGAACTCTGAGAAATACATTTCTGTTGTTTATAAGCCATCCAGTCTGTGGTGTTTTGTTATAACAGCCCGAAGAGACTAAGACAGGCCCTCTGTGAATTTCTGTCCCAACGCCCCACAAGTACCTGAACCCACATACATCCCTCGTAGAGCTCATCCCCTGCTCCGACCCCTAGACCTGGCTGTCTTCCTCTGGTCCCTATCCTGGTCAATGGCACCACCCCCCACAAGTCTCTCAGGCTTCAAGGTCATCTGATGATCCTGGACAGCTCCCGCCTCTGTACTCCCCAGACACATTCTTCTAAGTCCGATCAACCACGCCTCCTTCCCGGTTTTGGCAAATACTACTCGCACGTCTCCTGCCCCTACAAGACCAGGAACTTCTTGAACATAACCTTATGGATTGATTCCTCCTATCTCCTGTGCCTCACACGACATCTAGTACAGCATTTTTGACCACGACTCCCAGTGAGAAATGCATTTTACATCGCAACAAAATGCATGCACATACACATATACACAGAAACAGTAATTCAACCAAACAGTGTTTATCCTTCCACTTCATGTGATGCCCTCTGATTTTCTACTTGGTTTCAATTTTTTTTTTAAAAAGCCCATTTTGGGGGCGCCTGGGTGGCGCAGTCGGTTGAGCGTCCGACTTCAGCCAGGTCACGATCTCGCGGTCCGTGAGTTCGAGCCCCGCGTCGGGCTCTGGGCTGATGGCTCAGAGCCTCGAGCCTGTTTCCGATTCTGTGTCTCCCTCTCTCTCTGCCCCTCCCCCGTTCATGCTCTGTCTCTCTCTGTCCCCCAAAAAATAAATAAACGTTGAAAAAAAAAATTAAAAAAAATAAAAAGCCCATTTTGTCCCATGAAGCTAGTTTCCTGAACATATTAATGGATAGTGACTGGTAGTTTCAAAAATGCCAGCTGGCAGATCATAGGTGTTTGATAAACATTTGTCGTATGATCGCCTAATGATGCATGCACGGCCCCATGAGAGTTTTCATCATCATTGCCATGTTTTCAGATGAATTAGCTGAATCTCAGAGAGGATTCTCCTGCTCCGACCCTACATGCTGTCGTTTTCCACAACACCTTGTGGTCAGTGAGACCCCTTCCAGCCTCAGGATTTTGTGATTCAGCTGCCGCCTTCCGACAACTGCTGTCAGAATCACTGTGCCTCTGCTCAAGCATCTGAGTCAAAACATCCAGACTCTGGGATTCTCATCTAATCTATGGTGAACGTCTGACAGATGCTAAGACTCTGTATCCCCAATCAGGAATGTTCTCAATGGCATTGTTGCCTACACAGTCCCCGCCACCTCCAACGGGGGTTAATGGATTTATTGCACGTGGCGAGACGCTTCTTTTCTTACTGTGGATTAAACCAGTCTGACAGCTGAAGTTCTTCGCTGTTTTCCTTTCTTTGTTCATCTCCCTTGTCTACGGCTTCCTCTTCTGGGTAACTGTGGGTCCTACGTACAAAGGGAAAGCAAGCAGAGTGAGACAGAGGTGGATCTATGGCGTCGAGACAGCCCGCGAATGGCTCGTGAAAACGCGCTCCGAGGCGGAGAACATGTGCAGTGAAAAAATGTCTGGAGAAAGCTTCATGATACGAAACGTTTATTCGTAAACACACACTGTTGGTGAACAGGCTCAGGTCTCCCCTTTTCTGTTTTTCTTCCGAGTCAGTGCAGTTAGCAATTTAGTGACCTAGAACCTTCAGGTTATTTCAGGGGGCAAGGGAACTTGCTGGAACAGTCCTCCTGTGATAGTCTTTCCCGCAGCCGAAACTTCAGCCCAAGCCCCACTCACCCCCGAATTAAATGGACAAACGTGACCATAACCCCCAAGCTTCAATATACTCGTCCCAACCAGGGAATAGATTCCTTGTATGACTTCAACAGGCCAAAAAGACGAGTGACCGTGAAGGTCATGACCATGAGACCATTTTGTTTTGACTCTGTAAGCGTCAGGTGGGTGGACAAACACAGAGGGTCACCCCATCCATCACCTTACCTATTGTTAAACCAGCTTGGAAACCACCAGCCCTTCTGCGTGCTGCTATCACCCACCTCTGGGTTTCTAAGAAATGAAAGAGATGACAAACATTTTTAGAAGATGAGGCAGTCCCAGACTGGGTGGAGGCAGGGTGGGGGTGGGGTGGGGTTTCCAAACTCTTCATGGCAGAAAATTACTTAAATTTCCTTCCTTCTTTCTTTCTCTTTCTTTCTTTTCTTTCTTTCTTTCTTTCTTTTCTTTCTTTCTTTCTTTCTTTCTTTCTTTCTTTCTTTTGTTCTTTCTTTTTCTTTCTTTCTCCCTCTCTTTCTTCTTTTCTCTCTTTTGTTTGTTTGTTGGTTTCTCTCTCTCCCTCTCTTTCTTTCAGTTCAGAAAACAGAACTTCAGTTCATAAAACAGGAGTGAAGCTATTCTCTACCGGGTGATGAATGGAAGTGTTGAATCACTATATTGTACACCTGAAACAAATATAACACTGTCTGTTAACTAACTGGAATTAAAATAAACACTAAAAAAAAAGAAGAAGAAAAGAAGTCAAGCTTCTCTAGATGAATGAGGGAAAGATACCCCAATAGCGCCTGGACCTCTCCTCCGTGGTGCAGCCCCTGGTGCTCAGCTCATCCAGGGAGCCCCGGCAGGGAGAGAGGAGGCAAGAGGAAATAACAAGTCGGGGAACACTGATACATAAGCCTGGGACATGGGTCTGCCACTAACTCGTGGTGTAACTGTGACGGACCTTTTCCCTCACGGAATCTCGGTTTTTTCCTCTGAAGAGTCAGATATGTGATAATAATAAGGATGGTGACAATCACAGTGATAATAAACCGAACATGGAGGTGGAGGTGGCTTTGAAAAATAAACGAAATAGCATACATCAAAGAGCTTTATCAAAGTTGAAAATTGCTGTAAAAAGTTGTGATCTTAATTAAAAAAAAAAAAAAAAAAAAAGACCAGTGTATATTTCCAAGAATGATCTCTTTTGCTAAGCTAGAGTTCAAGTTGCTACAAAGGTCAGCAGTGACAGCCTCAGGAAATCTGAGGGTCTCTGAAGCAGAAACTCAGGAAACTGTAATCAGAAGCCACCCTCACCACCCACATGTGGAAATTTCCAGACTCTCTCATTGTGAGAGTCTCTCCAGGGAGGGGACTTTCTGGAGAAGGGGAAAGAGGGGGAAGGCAGGGGTGCAGTGGCCTGTGGTTGGACAAATAAGACAGAGAGCCACGAACAGGCTTAATAATATTAAGAAACATGTTTTAGGGGCACCTGGGTGGCTCAGTCAGTTAAGCTCAGGTCATAGTCTCGCGGTTCGTGAGTTCGAGGCCCGCGACGGGCTCTGTGCTGACAGCTCGGAGCCTGGAGCCTGCTTCGGATCCTGTGTCTCCCTCTCTCTCTGCCCCTCCCCACCCCAAAATAAATAAACATTAAAAAAAAAAAAAAAGAAACCTGTTTTAAAGCTCATCTACTTTCAGGAGGTGTGTCAGATGCTTGACTATTAAAAAGGAGTGGTCACCATACGCAGGGAGACAACAGAAGACTTAATAAACAAAAGGGAACAGAAAGAGAAATATTTACTTACTCGTGTAGGTATTTTCATATGAGCCTGGTCACCCCCAACTACTCGTGAGAGTAAAGGTTTCATCTTTATGTTCATTTTATAGCTGAGAATTTGGCCAAGTGGGGTTGGGCAAATTGCTAAGATCCCACAGAATGTAAGTGCAAAAGCCAGGATTTAACACCAGAGAATCAATTATATCAGAAATGAAGGCTGACGAAAGTATAAGCAGTTAAGCACAAGACTTTGCTCTGAGCTTCCTGGCAGCCAAGCCAAAGATCGAGAAATGAAGGCTTGGGCTCTGAGTGGCTCAGTCGTTAGGCATCTGACTTCGACTCAGGTCATGATCTCACGGTTCGTGAGTTCGAGTCCCGCATCGGGTATGCTCGAGCCCCGCTTCAGGTGAGCCCCACTTCTCCTTCAATCTCTCTCTCTCTCTTTCTCTCTCTCTCTTCCCCCTGCCCCTCCTGGGATTCTCTCTCTGCCCCTCACATCGTACTGTGGGATTCTCTCCCTGCCCCTCACTTATACTCTCTCTCTCTCTCTCTCTCTCCCAAAAAAAAAAAAAAAAAAAAAAAAAAAAAAAAAAAAAGAAGGCTTACATAGTTCTCGCTGCCTTTGGCAATAATAATAATAATAATAAATACTAGTTCATCGGGAGACCTTAACTTCTTTCCTGGTCCTTTGTCTCAAAGGAATTTCTTGAAGGGTCTTTATAGAACACATACTGGGCAGCATAATGAAAAATATCTATCCTGATTCTTTTCATCAGCAAGGCAGAACGTTCTCCAAATGACACCACTTAAACCCGTGATGAGAATCAAGGGCAAAACACAAGTCACAGTTCTTGTATAAAGGCCTGCCCAGGGAATGGGAGGCAGGTGGTCCAGATCCCTGGGAAACCACCCTTCCCCTCTGCCCTTGACCGGAGCTCCCCTACTTGCCGCGGTGCTAAAAACGGGCTGTAGGGGGTGCCAGGGTGGACACGGGAGACATCCCATACATCTCTAGAATTCAAAGCACTTACTTTGAGTGATATATCCACAAGAAAGAGCCTTCGGGGCTGAAAGCAAATGAGAAATAAAAACATATCATGTTACTTTTAATTCCGAGAAAAGCTATTTTGCAATCATTACCATTGATGCCCCCCGGCTGAGCTGAGAGCCTGGGTTTTGTCTACTCCTAGGTTTCTACTTTTCTTTGAGGTACAGCCAAAGGTATCGAGGGACTGGGTATTTTCAGTGGCAGTCTCTTCAGGGTTGTTCAGAGCAAGGGGTGGGAAAGAGGTTACTGGAGTCTCTCAAATCTTCATAAAAAAAAAATAAGAAAAAGGTGAGACCTCTCCATTGGCTAGAGGTGGCCTCACTGAGGGAGGGGTTCCATCTCTGAAGCTAGTGGAGGCAGTGAGTTGGTCTGTAGGGACCTACAAGGCTGGGCCAGGGAATACATGACTCCTCCGTTGAGCCATCTCTAGTCATTCAGCAGATACTTGCTGAGCATAATTACGTGCCGAGTACTGGGCACACAGCACTGGCTAACACAGACACAAGACCTATGTCCATGTGTCCTTGTGCTACACTCAAACTAGCAGGGAAGGCACACCCTATTCAGGCAATCACACGGCTACACGACCTCAAACTCCAAGCTATTGAAAAAAAAAAAAAAAAAAAA